AAAAAAAAAAAAAAAAAAAAAAGGGTGGGGGGGGAGAGCACCCCCTGGAGGAGCCTGAAGGAAGTGCAGGGTGGAAGACTCTGCGCCTGGGAAGCTCGTGCATGCTGCCCTCTAGAGGCCGCGGGTCCCAAGTCCAAGTCACGCACGCACCGGTTCAACTCCCACTGGGGAACTCCTCTGTATCCCCCTAGTGAGATTTGAGGCTGCTGGGGGTCCCCGGGTGCCCAGCACTGCTCTGGGGCTGTCATCACGGAACTTGTGCGGGTGGGTCGGCACCGTGCCAGGCACAGGGAGCACGTGGAGATGGTGGCCAGGGCCTTGGTTGAGCTTGTGGGTCAGGTGCAGGGGTGGGAAGGGGTCAGGGGACTCCGCAGAGCATCAGGCAGGGGGGGCTTGCTGAAGAGGGGCGGTGTCAGCTGAACCCTGGCTGTGGCAGCTGTTTGGGGTGAGTTCTGGGCAGTGGGAATGGTGACGCTTCGCTCTGGGGCCTGCAGAGGATTCAGAGGGTCTGGAAGGTCCCTGGGGAAGGCGGTGTGAGAGAGGCGGTGACGTGCATGGGCGCTGAGCCTGTGGCCAGGGAGCTTGGAGCTGCGTGGATGTGGCCCTGAGCAGGGCAGAGGTGAGGTTGGGGCTTCAGGCTTCCCAGGCCTTTGGTTGTTTCAGGCCAGTGGGAACTCTGGAGGTTGTAGTGAGTCATGGCCACGTTTCATACAGCTGGTTGTGTAGAAGTCTTGGAAACCAGCAGGACCCTCCAGTCGCTGGAGATAAACAGGTTCCTCTTCACTTGGCCCAGGAGAGGTAACTGCAACGGCTGACAGGACTTGGAAGAGGAGTTGAAAATGTGACGTAGCCCCCGGACAAGATCCGGGGAGACGGGGCCTCGGGCTGCCAGTCCAGAGGAAGGACAGTTGTCCTGGGTGGCTGCAGAGGGAGATCAAAGTGTCCGAGAGGTGATCCTGGCCCCAGAGGGGAAAATGTGTTGGGGCAGGTGGATTGGGCCTCAGCCAAGGTTGGCAGCGGCTGTGATTACGAGAATTCTGGGAGTGTCCGGGGTGTGTGTGTGTGTGTATGTGTGTGTGTGACCCGCCTGACTTAATGCTAGAGGAAGCCGGGCCTGGTAGGCCCAGGTGTCTTTGCCTGTCCCATGCTTGAGCCTGTCGAGCTTCATCCCCGATGTCCTCCAGGGCCGTGACATCGGGCTTGACGAGGAGTGGCCTGACCAGGAGTCCCAGGCCTTTCTTAGACCATGCAGGAGCCATTGCGCTGCCCTGGGGGGTGCTGTGTCGGAGGTGGGGTGCTGAGCAGACAGGCGAGGTCGGGGAAATGCTGGGGGGCAGGACAAGGGCTCCCTTCCCAGCACAGGACCCAGGAGCTCTCTCTCGAGTCAGAAAAGATGTCTGTGTTTCGTGTCATTGGATTCCAGGAGATGCGGATGTGTGTGAAAATCCTGCTGTCGATTAAAAAGCTCGTTTTGCCATGGATCCAGCAATGGGGTTTCACTTGGCTTTTTGTTTTTTTCACCCGCAAATGTAGCTGCTTCTGTGTAAAGTACCATTTTGATATTAAAAAGCATTTCACATCCAAAAGATGACTGGCTGGTGAGGCCGAAGGGGCAGGCGGTTTGGGGGAGAAGGGACAGCTGGTGTCGCTGAGTCAGTCTTTTGGAGACTGTGGCCTCGGGGCTCATAGCGTGGAGTGTTTATTTGTAGTTTTAATTGCGGTGAGATAAACATCACATAAAATTCACCAGCTTGACCATATGTAAGTGGACAGTTCAGAGGCACTGTACTAAGTACATTTGCTTTGTTGTGCCACCATCAGCCCCACCAGTATTTTTTCTTTTGTGGTAGGTGGGGGGGGCAGCGGGGGGCTTACTATGGCTTGAACCCAAGACCTTTTTTTGCCTTGAGCTATATCCCCAGCCATTTTAATTTTTTAATTTAAAGATAGGGCCTTTTTAAATCACTAAATTTCCCAGGTGGGGCTTGAACTCATGATCCTCCTGCCTCAGCCTCACAGAGATCTGGGATTATAGGTGTGTACCACCAGGCCCAGCTCAATCAGTAGTTTGAAAAAATAACACTGCTTTGTGCCTACGGCAATACTGCAAAGGAAATCTCTGTTCTTACTGATCGATCACCTACTTTTCCTTGGCATCTTGGATGTGGTATTGTAAGGTGCTTTAACCCCAGCCCTCAAAAGGCTGAGGCAGGAGGGTTGCTGCAAGTTCGGGGCCAGCCTGAATTACACAGGAAGATCCTGTCAAAATAAATAAAAGACAAAAGGGACAGGGGTCTAGGCAGCTAGGCCCAGTCCGCCAGCGTGCTCTTAAGAGCTTCAGAGCCAGTCGTCAGATTGAAGCCCCTGCAGGGAACTGCAGTTTGAACCCCAGTTTTGCTAGGTCCGTGATCTGCTCTGGGAAATGGGCGTAGCACTGCCACCCGGTGAGGCTGCTGTGGGCTGGGGCCTGAGCCCCCACAGAGGCTGCACTAAGCCTCATGCAGTGTCAGCACCAGGCAGGTAATTAGGAACCCTGGGTGCTGGTGGAGCCGACAGAGGGAGGTGAGGGAAGGCGGGGTGTGAGGGAGGGCGTCCTGGAAGAGGTGACCTGGAGGGAGCCGCGCAAGATGGGAGAAAGAAGGAGATGACCGTGGTGGAGCAGGGCCTTTGGCCGTGGGGCCAGTTCTGGAGGGGATGGGTCCCTACCGGCTATGGGGCAGGCGGGCAGGGGATTCCAGGGAGGATGCAGCCAGGGCTCCGAGTGTGATAGAACCGGGAGAGTCTGAGGGCGGGCAGAGGGCCATTCACGTGGTGCGGGGCAGTCGGGGAGAGGCTGGGGGAAGGCCAGGACACTGGACGGGTTGGGAGAAAGGACCCTAGGGTCGGGGACAGAAGCTGAGCCAGCAGTGCCCAGGGCAGTCCTCGGGCGAGCGCGAACACACCTGCCCGGCACCTCTGACCCCGTGCAGCCCAGAGGACCCCGCTCCTGTTCTTGGCTCTCATTCTACCGCTGCCTTGCATGGGCGATCTCGGGGAGCCCCTCTTGCCTCTGGGCCCCAGTGTCTTCTGAAAAGAAGCACCCCACTGAGGGGCCCTGAAGGACTAGGTGAGGGGTCCACAGTAGGTTCTGCTGCCCTGGCAGCTCCCAGCTGCCCACTGGGTCCAGCTCCTTCTCCCCTCTGATCTCGTGGGACAGGACCGAGTGCTTCCCGTGCCCCAGTTGTGGGTCCCTCCATTTTCCACATGGCTGACGTCTTGTGACCCTCAGGTCTCAGCCAGATGTCATCCGCAGGGAGGAGCCTCTCTTGACCACCCGGCCATAAGGCAGTTCTCAGACTCTGGGGTTTCGGGTCCCCCTCAGCCTTACCCACTGAGGGATGCATGTCTGCCAACCACTTAAAAAGGTCACCGCCTTTTTTTCCATCGATTCAACAAAATGTTGCAGACCCCTCCTCCGTGTTAATGAGGGTCCTGCTGCCAGGGACACCCTGAAAGCAGACTGGCATTGTCTCTGTGGTTTCACAGCCCAGAGAGACTTTACATGAGCAACTATGTGCACACAGGAATCAGGAACAGGAGAGAGGAACTGACATAGTGCATCTCCCATATTAGAAATCAAAACCAAGACGTTTAGAAAAAGACTTGTTTACTAATTCATGGAAAAACAGCCATAACAGTAATAAACTTCCTGGCTTCCTGACATAACACATGTCTTATGAAAAATAGCTACTTTACAAAACAAAACAAATTAAAGGAGAAGACAGCTTTATTCTTTTTGGTAAATCTCTTTAATGGATGGTTTAATGGAAGACAAATTCTGTTGGACTCTGATATCTGGTGCCTTCAGTCTGTTGCTAGGTCCCCTGTCACGTGGCTTCGGAGGGCGGGCAGAGATCCGAAGCCACAGGCGGGTGCTCAGCGGCCGCCGAGAGCTGTCATTCAGAGGTCAGCCAGCAGATGGAGCCGTTGTACCGAATCCACTGCGGCTGATTCTCGGTACTTGGAAACTGGTTTTGTTTCTCTCAGAGGTGTCTGGGGAAGCGCTGCGGAGACACCTGTGCGTTTCAAGGCATCGAGAAAGGTCTAGCATGGTGGCGGGGGTGAGTAAGGGCTGGTGGGAATGCAGCTGAGGACAGAAACTCTGGAAAAGCTCTGGTTATTCTGCAAGGGCTTTCTGTTCTTGACAGAAGCGGTTAAGCGGCAGGCCCTGCTGAGCCTCAGTGCTCTCCTCTGCAAAATGAACAGACTCAGTTCGGCTCGCATTCCGCCACGCCACTCTTGGCAAGGGTCACTTGGTGTCAGTAACACTGGCGTTTCCGGCCATGTGGGCTTCTCCCCTGAGAATGGCGCACCTGGAGAACCTGCGGATGAGGTGGGCTCAGTCCTCTCCCGCCCACCCACCCCCAAGGTGGCCCCACGGGTTGACACAGAGGCTCTTGATGTTTCAGGAGGGCTGTGTTAAGCAGGGACGATGGATTCTTGAGGTTCTACCAGTGGTTCGAGTTTCCTCCGTGTTACAGGAGGGACGTGGAGGTCCAGGAGTGGAAGACGTTACCCGGAGACACACGGGAGGACCGCGACACCCAGCTCGAGGTGGCTTCTGTGCCCGTGGGTCGCTGCCCTCACACGCAGCCTCCATCTTCCCCGTAAGGTTGAGCCCAGGACAGGAGGGGCCTCAGAGATCATGAGGCCCTGGGTTCCATCCCCAGACTGCAAAAACCAAATCAAACATCTTTCCGGTGGTTTCT